AATCGCGAATAAGGAGATACCATCTGCAGGTTGATTAAAGGATATGCCTGCATGTTCACGTGCCCGCTATTTTCAAAGGCAAAAATAAAAATAAAGCTCATTGCGCGTAAATTGCAAAAAAAAGACAAAGGATAAAGACTTACAATTCCATTCTATGAATGATTTTACAGTATATCTATGCAGACTCACTTTATCTTTTTGCTGTTTTCCTCTTGGCGTTCGAGCATACTCTCACATTTGGATGTAGTATTTTCTTCTAATAACCTCTAATAATATACTTTCTCTAATTCACTTTCTGTTCTGTTCGTTATACTTACCTGGTAACCCCAGAAAGGATATCTATCCTTCATGTTGGTGGAAAAAAGTTTTCATTTTTCTTTGCTTCTTTCTTATGTTACTCTTAACATTATGTATACAGTTCATATACTCTTTTAATGTTAACGTTAACGTCATCTTGGCTTTTAGCAAAAGCAACAAGTAATAAAATTCAAGGGCACTACGGCACTACCCACATGAATGCGCACATATTTATGTATCATTATGTTGTATTGTTGCGTATTGCTGTTCGTTTTGTTCGAAATAGAAACTCAACGAATAATTGACGCATGTGAGTCTGCCTTAAAATGGATATTGTTGTGTGTAGATGTGTTATCCTATGCTTTTCAAGGGCAAGTGCAACAATTTTCAATATATCTCCTCGCTATCTTCTATATTGTTGTTGGAGTATATAATAAAAATTATTTCCAAAATTTTCAATTTCGATTTTTTATAATCACCGCGAAACGACGTATAGTACGACTCAGAAACTTACTATAACGTAAAAGTTTTAAACGAACCAGAGAAAATTAAAATCAATTCCTTCGAATGTTCAGTGATGATCATAAAATTTATTTCCCCTTGACATTCGCCTTATATAACGTATTAATTGCTTGCGCAATTCTATACTTATCTTTTATAGATAATTTAGCGTTAATATTAGGAGCAAAATGAAGACAATTCAGTCAACCTGATTAATAGAGCAAATAAAAGTAACGATGGCTCTGATAAAGAACTGTTTAAACCAATTGCATACATAACAAAAGAAGCAAAAAAAAAAAAAAAAAAAAACATCCGCATACAACTAATATAATTAGATGATAACATTTTATGAGATTTTTATATGAAATGTTCACAAACCGTCCGCTCGCAATTGAGCATTAATTGATAAGAAGCCGTATAAATATTAAATGAAAAACTACATATTTATTTAGTTAGTTTAAGGATTTCATTGCGAAGCCTCGCGTATCTAAGATAGGCTTTGATTCGTCAAAAAGTTAAACCATTGCGCGCTCGCGCAACGTTACCGTTTTACAAAGATAGACTTTGTCTGCCACATACGTATATTTTGTTTTTTTTTTTTTTCTTTTTTATATATATATCCTTCTAGACGTTTATAAAGAAAGAAGAAATATTCATTGAAGGCACCATTAGGTTTACTGGCATGCAACTGGCTGAACTGAACTGATTTTGTTTTGACTTTCCCATTTCCGACCCCTCTTCCTCGAAAATCAGTGAACTTGTAAGATCTGAGCGTCTCGTCACATAACCTCGTTCGTGGCAATTTGCGATTCAGGCATGAATTGCACACACGCAATACTTTGCACAATCATAGACTTTTTTAAAAATGCGCTTTTATGATTGCGTTCCTGAGAAAGGCAAGAATAAAAGGGAATTTAATTAAAAAATATTTTATTTGAATTTAAACCGTCTTAAGAGCATTCCTATGACATAAATGATGGTCGACTTGATTACTACCGAACAATATGATAAAAGAACATTTTAAATTGAAGAAATAAAAGTTCACACATACACACACACACACACACACACACATTTTCAATATTTCCTTCAAAATTTTAACATCTTTTTTCAGGCAGAAGAAGTAAAATAGAATAGTAGCTCTTGGTTGAGTGCATTAAAGCAACCAAAAGGCAAGTTGGCCAGTGATTGGACCTTTAGGCGAGATGGGAAATCTCAATTGCAAGAATGCTGAACAATATATACAAAGAATGTATAACTTTTCCTCTCTTCAAATTTATATAGGGAAACTAAGTTTTTATGTGTTTCGCAATGATATCATCAGTAAAATAAAAACGTCAACGGCTATGTTCATGTTATATACAAATAAATATATATATATATATATATATATATATGCCCATTAAAATAGCCTAAACACAAGTCCAGTTATAACATGGTTAGGTAGAATTATTTGATTGTTCAAAGATTCAACATACGAGCACTGCATGACCCACTAATAAATAATTCTTTTTGTGAATTCTTCGCACAAGAGATTTCTAGTATTCTAAATTGTACAGATTGTTCTTCCTATCCCTATTCGCCGACAGATCTCTAAGATTATATTAGCACCAAGCAGAAGCATTCACTTTACACTGAGATGTATACATAAATATACAAAAATTCAACTTTCCGTCAAAACCTAAGACGTATAACAGTACTATTTGAAACCAACATTAGTCAGAATTGGATTCCATCGCAGTGATTTCAATCCCGGATACATTTGTAACTATCAAAAAGTAAACAAGTAATGCCGTTATTATCGGACAAGTCCAATTAAACACTTCACCTAACACAAATCTTTCATTTATTCTCCTGATAAAGTCATGGAAATTGTATCCTGCTTGCATGTAAAAATATACTTTTCATGGGTGGTGGCCCATAAACCTATCTATGGTCATCGCAAAATACTAAAATAAGCCCTTTCTGTCCACGGGAGCACTTATATTCAAGGCTCTATAAAATAAACTTGAACTCGCGGTATAAATTTAATTTAAATTTTCAGATACTAGTCGTAAATGCGATCCAGCTCGATCCACTTTCAACGCAACTTATCTATGGACGCCGAATAAATCAGTGTGGAAAACTTCGTCAAAATATCTGTGACGGATGGACGGACGGCTAAACTAGACTAGCTTAAATCAATTCAAATTCATTTTAATAAACGATAAATCTATCTCAAGTCCTTGTGAGGTTTACACACATATATATAAATCTAACAAATGCTACACCACAAGTTTTGTAAGCCATAAAAAGGGCGCTTTTTTATATCAAAGGCTGTCTTATAAACGATTACCATCGCCAGCAAGCAACAGGTTTTAAGCATTACACGTGTGCGTTCACTCATTTGGAAAATGAGTTTGGCCATCAATTACATGTAAATTAAATACTCGAAGAGATGTATAAAATTTCATTCTCTTAATTAAAGCAGCAAAAATTTACATATATAGATTCCTTACTTAATTGTTTTGTTGTTACAGCAAATATATATACATATATATGTAAGATAATGCTTAAGATGAATAAGATAATGATTTGCATGAATGAATTTTTGTTCGAAATTCTACAATTTATAAAAAGATGATGCAGTCACAATTGTATCGGAAATAATGGTTAGACAAAATGTGCTAAAAGTTCAGGTGAACGCTCTATAGGATGTGGTGTGGACGATATATTGTATATAGGCCTACGCCTACTAAACAAATATCGATGTAGCTATGTATCCATTTATTCTCTACATTCTTCCATTTCATTTTTTTTTTCAAGATGCTTTCATTTTAATTTACTTTGTTGTTTTTCATATTAAATTAATTATCCATATAAGGTTTTAGAGGTACATTGTTAATAGCTTTTAGAAAAGGGCAGAAGTTTTTTAAACGCATACGAGCAATTTAACTATCGATCTCGCCTTTCAAATTGTTTTGTATTATATTGACATTATCATCCACTGTGACATTGTCACCCCCTATTTTTCATTAAGGCCTTTTTGTTTTGCGGGGGGGATAATGTATGCACAGTAGCTATGGAATACTTTCTCTCATACTTATTAAATGAGACAAGAGCAAGGCTAGCTATCATTTCGAACAAATTCGCCTTAGAATTGAATGTTCAGAGTTGCATTTTTAAGAAAAAACAGCTGTAACAGAAAGCAAAACAAAACCTGAAGAAACTGTTTCAAGTTTAAACAAAACCAAAACAAAAATTAAAAAAAAGCATTGTGGAAAGATGCGTTGATTTTTACAAACTTTACTACCATGTTTGTATCTTTATTTATGTTTTAGTAAGAGTAACAGTCACTTATTATTTTACTTTATTTCATATTATTACCTCAAAATTTTATATAATTATATATTTGCTTATTTCTGAATAATGCTATCGTTGTTCACTCCATATTGGATGTTTATAAAGAAACAAACGATGACGATAATGATACATAATGCCAAGTGCAGGGATTACCATGCTTTCATCGTCAAAGCGAAGGAGAGTTAATAAAAACATTTAACATATTATGTCGGCCGTAAGTTAACTTTCATTCTCAAGTTCCGTGCTTTTTGCTTTACATATGCACAATAACTCCGTGATATATTCTCTCTCATCGAAAAATATCGAAAAAAGAAAGCCATACATAATGTAAAACTAAAGCACCGTCATAACGAAAGTTAGTTAACCAAAACATATATAATTAGTATCTAGAAATGAAAGAATGAAATGAAACGGAGTGAAATAGGTGGAGTTATTGAAGTTATCAAATTTTAGCACCGCAGATGCAGTAATGCGGGTTGCAGATGGATTGCATTGTATATTACTGTTTTGCAGAGTCCGTCAAGAAGTACAATAATCGAATTGAACAAAGTACATGCACAAAGTTTATTATTATATTTACGTATATGAAGCCAAGGCATACATTGTTTTCCCCTTTTTAGAAGTTGAAGTATTTATTAAAAATGTAATTGACAGAAATATTTAGCCTTATTATATTTTTTGTGCTAATAAATTCAAATCTTGCAGTGAGACGACAACACTGCTCTTTCTTGCAAATAAATTTATTGTTTTTGTTTTGATCTCAAAATTCATTAATTAAATCTAGAAATTCACAACTACTTTAATTTCTTCAATTCTTAATTGTTTTTCCTTCTATTTTATAAAAAAAAAAAAAAGCAAACAAATCTCAAAATGTTAATTGGAAAGCCCAAAAAGGAATAAGAAAATATGTTATTAAAATTAATAATATTCAGCCTAATACTTTTCATAATTATATATTGGTGAGTAATAGAATACATTACGGCAAAGAGCAAATATGCATTAGTAAGATAATTTATGTTTAGGGTTTTGCCAACCAGCATCAGTTGGTATTTGGTGAAAAAATTTAGAGTCAAAGTTCGTATTGGACGTATCAGTTTACCTTATCTGGCCTTAAAGAATGTGCACGTCAGCAAAAGTGGCTTTTCAGTGGTAAGTAAAATAATGGAATAAGATATTGCGTCCATATCCAAAAATCATCATTTTTGAACGAACATTATTAATATCATATATCGTACTCCACCCAATAAAATGGTACTGTCTCTATGCATCTCCAACTTACCTTTCAATAGTTGTAATCATCTAGAAATATTTCTAGATATATTAAGTAATAATAATTAGATAAAACTTCGTCTGATTTATTTACATTGTGAAGAGAATATTTTGATTAGTCGAATTTATCATTATTTCCTTGTCTCGTTTTTCTTTATTTTTAGCAAATCGAAGAAGTCTGTCTGCGTAGCAGTTTCTTCAATACCGAAGTCACTAAGTTGTTATCGATTTATGTCAAGGATATACGAATTAATAAGGATATCCAAACTAAGAACGATGAGCATATCGAGGAGTTTGTTGGACGTTCACGCTGCAAAACGGACGGTGTTGTAAGTAACGTTCTCGATTTTCGCCATGCGAAGGTACCACCTAGCATTTTGACCTTTGCCCAATTTATGGCTGTACACATTAACAACATATCAGTGGTGCTGATGAATAATGATTTCGATCCGGGATGGTTTATACATGCTATCGCAAAGGAACTACATTTGGATGGCAGTATTGTGCATAATGCAAAAACATTGCTAGTCAATGTAGCTCTCAACGAGGCGCAGGTAATTAATTGTAATGCCAATAAGAAACTTGTGATCATTTTTAATTGTGAAATTATATTAGGCTAAAATTTTACGTCACTGCTCGATGCGTCGTCAGTCTTTGGAAAATCTAAACAGAATCCGTCCATGTCTGGGCGAAATAAGTTTCGATATTGCCTTAGATGCCACCTTGTTTGCTCACGATCCGTTATCGGTTGATGTAAGATATTTATATACAATAGTATATTTTAAAGCATTTTCTTCATTCAATTTCTTCAATTAATTTTAGACCTTAACCGTTGATATGAATAGAGCTAAATCTACCATTCATGGAGGACTTTATGATTTCTTAAGTGAAGCGAAAAAGAGTACTAAGCCTGAAAACCAATTATCTAGCAGACATCACACGGAATTTTCTAAATCAACTTACAGCAATGAATCCTATCAGAAAATTGCTCCCATTGTGCCCAAAAATTTTAAATTTATTATTAAGGCGGCTACATTTTCGGCTGTCAAGGAAAACTCTCAAAATGATTTTAGCGCTAAAATGCAATTGTTTAGGGTAAGTGAAGCAAAATATGGATATAGATGGATATGGAATAACTACCATACAATAATATGTGCATGTTAATTTTTAATATCTTTTTTTTTTTGTAATATCTGGAAATAATCATCGGATATGCAATTGTCTCCGCCCGGCCGCGGTGCTATTCACAATTTCACAAGAAATGAGTTAGAAAATTTAAACTCATCCCCCAGGCAGAGCAAAAAACGTTTAAATAGGAGGTATCCAACGAATGTTACCTCACAACATCGTTGATTAGATAGATTGATCAGTTTCTTATAATGGGTAAATGTACTCCTAAAAGCTATCGCAAAGTATAACGTACATAATCGGAAAATAGCAAAGTTGTTCAGCGTGAATAGTATAATTTCCGTCTATCTTTCGCCAGTTCGTTGAAATCACGACTATGACTTTAAAAAGTATCGTAATTTTCAACGGTTAGTTTAAAATCGGCTAAATAAAGTGAAATAAGGAGAAGAATATTGCTATGATTTTTAGTTTTTAGAGAAGTACATAAAAGTGCTATCAAATCATAAAAAATTATGCACAATTATTGTAATGCAATGTGCATTTAATACATCGCTTGAATGAAGCTTCGTCCAATTTGACAATTTTGGTCTACAAGCAAATGTTGGACAATAATAGATTCGATCCTAGCCGAAATGCATAGTTGTGTTCTTAGTCGAGAATAGGCGCAATGACCAGTCTATAATCGGGGTTTGTATATCAGTTTCTTAGAATGTATTTTTCCGAGGTACAAAGAAAGTAACTACAAATAGAGTCAATCCACTGCTAATACTGAAAAAATTTTTTTTTTTTTTTTTTAGCACAAATTCGCCTCATTTTTCTAATTTTTATCAAATGTGTTTTTTGCAGATCACAGGAAAATTTAATTCAAAATCATTGAATGAGTTGGCTAACCTACCTACCTTGTCCTCGGAAATAATGTTACAACACTTGGATATTGATACCAAATATGAAAAATTGTTATTTATAGAACAGTTTAGTATTGAATCAATGGTAAAGTTATACATAACTTATATATATATATATATATATATATATATATACAACATTTCATGAAATTATGTTAATTTTTCCATTTCTTTTACTTTTTTTTTATGTTTTATTTTAGCTACAAAACGATATTTTGAATTTGTATGTAAAATTGAAAACTTTTCAAATTATTTATAATCACATTGAGATTTTTGATTGGGTGCATAACAATTTTTTATCACGTAAGAAGCAAAAGCAGCAACACCGTGGTCAACCTTTATTGTTACAACAAAAATCTTTACCCAATCAATTGGGCGCTTGTTGGCCTAATAAGTCTATGAAAAGCGAGATTTTGCAAAAAGACGAAGAATTTCTACGCAATAAGGGTTTAGTTGAATGGATAATGAAACGTGTGATTATTAAGGGTTGCGCTGAGTTCTTTAACGTTTCTATGCTTATGAAGTTGGATGATGAATATGCCGCCATGAGCGTTAGTCATACGCGTTTAGTGTTGGAACAAATCGAAGAGAAGCGAAGTTCTTTGTATGGCAATAAATTGCTAAATATGTTATTAAACCAACGTCATTGGAGTGTTGAGCTAATGATTGAGTCCCTTTGGTGGTCTTTGGCTAATTCCATTAATGATACTAACAATTTAAAAAAGTCACATTCGCCGGGTTCGCCGTTCTTTTTGGGTGTCAGTTTAATAAAATTAAGCTCTTACTCCAACGCCACTAAACTGGAAGTTTCCATACACACTTTACGCACCGAATACAGCATGACTTTGGCAAAATTTATGATTAAATCGTTGCATTGTATTAAGCAATATGGAGGCTTGAAAGCAGTCGCAACTAACAGAGCTACGTTGGAACAGTGCAGTAGCACAAACGGAGGCTTTACAAATTTATTAATTTCGGCAAAGATTAAGGACATTACAGCATATTTTATAAATCATTATAAAGCTTGCTTGCTGTTAAGTTTTTCGGAAATCACTTTGTCGCGTACACAGCAATTTTGTCATTTAAAATTAGAAGAATTCCAAATGGCCATTATGCGTTCCATGACGGCTTCGTCCCTGCGTTTAACCGATTTTACTGATATATTTGCCAGTTGTAAATTAATACGTTTGGAGTATGAAAGGCAAGAAAATCGACGTCCTAAACTTACGGTTTATATACCGGGCAATACAGAGGCCATCTGGAACTCTAATTTGCATATGCACACTTTGACCTTGATTCGTAATATGTTGGAATTGAAAAATGATTTATCATTGCGAACGGGCCAACAGCGTAACGCTTTCGATCATCAGGAAAACGTAGACAATGCAGAATTAAATGCAGAATTAATTGTCGAATTAGCTGCGGAGCGCAGCATAATATTTGAAATAAAATTGTCCGAAAGGCATTCTATGCAATGGTTTGTTGAGAATTTGTTGTTCAGTTATAAGGACGGAAATTTAATATTAGCCGAAAATATATTTATTAAAATTGATGATCAACATATATTTACATTAAAGGACGTTGATATACGATCTCTAAGTAAGTTAGATATGTTAATGGACGAAAGAATCAATTGTGAGGGCTTTATATGTGCCAGCAACAAGGTCTGGGTGGCTACTATAGGAGCGTTTAAGGTAAGGTACTCACAGCGAATAAAGCATCTTACAAATGTATTGAAATTTGTTGTCTTTAATTGATATTTAGGCCATTTTTCCATACGATCATGATTTCTATGACGCAGTACAAAATCAGTTTATCTCACATTTCAAGTGGCTAAAGATGATGCATAACTATAAGAAGAAACCGTTTACAGCTCTATCCCCATTGCCCAGCGATTTAGTCATAAAGGTTGAATTCATGCGTCTACTGCAATTTATGCCTTCTTATCACTTTTCTTTTATATGTATATGCGATAGATCACCGAGTTTTTAGTAGAGATTAGTGATGATCCGTTCGAGGTTAAGTTACGCGATAATTATGTATTGTTGGTCGATGAATATTTAGAGAGTTTGAAACGTAAAGCTCTATTTGATAAAAAGATAGAGCAACGTTACTCGGAACGCCTACTAAAGCCGGCCGGTAAAATTGAAAGCCTTTACGCCAATTTAGTGGAGAAAAATTCAGAAATCTACATTCAACGATCTAAAAAGATCCGTGAAAGTGGACCAGTACGTACTCGATTGTTAGCATGGATAATGACCGATGTGGAAATATTGGCTATGGCTGATCCTTCTATGCACGGTACCGAAAATGTTACACGAATTATGAGAGAAATTGATTCGGAGAGTCCATGGCCGGAAGAGGGTTTAGAGTTTACCACGTTATGGTGTCGTAATGTTCACGTTAGTCTTTCAGAATGGAAATTTATGCTTAGGTATGTATGATGTATTATCAAAGCGACTTATTTAGCATTTACTATGCACTACTATCGGAATTGAAGTAACGCAAAGTAAAAGTAGAGTTTATTTTGTTATGGAAATTGTAAATTTTTCCAGAGATTTTCCTCAGCCTATGTTTTATGTGAAAACGATGCATTTGTTTGGTATTTTATGTGGTGCAGAACAAGCTGCTTCAAAACGAGCCAAACGTGATGTTTACATTGAAGTTGGTGAGCCATTTGGCACTGATGTCATACAGCGCAGTATGACTGCTTTGAAGTTCTATCACGATTTCAATTGTGATTTGGAATTTTGTAGTTACGCCTTTGGTCCCTGCTGGGAACCTGTAATGGCTCAGTGTAATCTGAGCTTTGAAAAAATCTCGGCGCCATCCAAAGACCCTAGTCCACCACTACCTTTTTGGGATAAAATGCGTCTACTCTATCACGGACGCTTAACGATGATTGTTAAACAATTCACAGTACTATTACATGCGTCTCTTGATCCGTACAATACTACCGAAGAAATGGAATTGACTTGGAATAATGCCGGCATAGTTTGGACAAATGCAAAGATTATGTTTAGAGGAGAACTGAATGTGAGTGAGGATATCTCTTTTTAAAAATTTCATCTTAATTTAATAATATTTATATACAGGTTACCGTACGTACTGCGTCACGTTACGATGATTGTCGCTTATTGCATTTTCCGCATTTAAAATTGACTTTTAAATTAAAGTGGGTTTGTCTGGCTAATCCTAACGATCATCATGCCGTTATGCCTTGCGCACCCGACAAATTGCCCGAATATTCCAGTAATCAGGTGCACGATTCATTTCGGGCTTTTCGCTCTCTTAACCTCAACATTTGGATATCGTTCGAAACGAAACCGAAACCGGGGGAGGAAATTGAAATAGACATACCCAGTTTGGTGTTGTATGGCAGCACTTTGCGCTGGTTTGAAAGTTTAAAACTTATTTTATCGGGAGTTACACGGCCAACGCGGCGTGGTCCCGTTTTTAATAATATAAGGCCACGTAAAAAACAGCTGAGCCGTCATTACAAAAAAGCAAACTTACAAATGAGTTTACATCGTTTTCAAGTTCTCTATTGGATGTCTCATGCTCGTCACAAGGGCTTTCAGTTAAATGGAGGACGTGTTTCTTTTGGTTCCGAATATTTATTTACACTCAGCCCATTCAACGATGACTTAATACATCGGCCTAGGGCTGAATGGTCTATTGTTTATATGAACTGCGAGTTAAATGATGCGGAAATTTGGCTAAAATCCATAGAGCCGGAGAAGTTAGATAGCAGCTCCGAAAATATCGCCAGCGGCGATACATGTAAAAAAGTACGATTTTATTTCTTGAGCGTAGCTAAAGTTTCATATGGCCGCGAGGCTCTTATACAAACGGGTAACGAAGAAGAGGCTAAATCTAAATCCTCTACACCCACTCATAGGTTGGTTGTTCACGATTTAAAGGGCGCCTGGACAAAGAACAATCGTGATGTGGCCTTTGCGTTATTCGATTCGTTTATGAAATCCCAAAAGCTGAAAAATAATCTCTCAACCGAGGCTGTGAAAAGTTATCGAAAAGAAGGAAATACTAGTCTTATGAAGAATAAACGCACTGACAGCACTATAACCTTGCCGAATAGTTCGAATGAAGTGTTACCACGTAAGTAGGGGGAAAGAATTTTCTTAAATAAAGCAGTAGAGCTATTTATTAAAAAGTCAAGTTCGGATGGAGGATTCGAATGTCTGAATAATTTAAATACAATATTTGCATAGTTTATCATATAAAATCGTTTAATTGAATTTTTTTTTTTTAAATATGTGTTTTCATATTGGAATGCAGTTACGAATACCAATACAACAATTAAGAAGCCCCAACCAGCTAGTCATGCCACCGCCATGTTACAGCAGCTAATAGCCGAAGCTGATCATAAATTTAACGTGTACAGTGACGATCAAAGTACTCAGTCCAGGGAGCTACAGTTGCAAGGATTGCAAGCATGCTCTGCTCAGGATGTTATCCATGAAAATTGGTCCATATCATTGGTTAATTCTCAGGTACTTCTTAAAGGTTCGGAGACGTATGGTTATGTCATAATAAGTGCTGCCAAAGCGGAAATACTTCAAAGAGTGCATCGGCCTGTGTGGCGTGATCGTTCTCTAGTGTCGAAGACTACTTGGAAGGGATTGCTCGAATGCATGCAGTATTATGCGACCGTTAGCGCTGGTGAACACGATTCACTATTGGAACGCGAAATTATGTGGTTGACTGTGGAAAATATACAAGATAAAGATGATACCGTAATCAATGACTTGCCGGATATACCATATTTAGTAGGTAGTGGTCGAAGTGTTGGAGGGGTAGTGTCGGAAACAGTTGGCCCCACTTCAAACGAAAATTCTGGAGAATCGCAGCCTATACAGCTTCAGCGTATTGTTTCGCGTTGTAAATGCGAATTTTTCTATGTTTGTTATGGTGATACCATAGATCCAAACACAATTACAGATCTTCCACAACCACCTTCCGAAGAAACTTTATCGCCATGGGAACGGCAGGATGATCCCGTCGATGCTTTTACTCTAATGCATCACGATTTGGATGTGTGCACCAATTCCTTGCAATACGCCATGATTTTGGACATCGTAAACAATCTTTTATTATATGTAGAACCGCAACGTAAACAGGCGTTAGAAAAATTAGCACGAATGCGTTTTCAATTGCAATTGCACTCGACGGAAGATCAAAAGAGGCCCATACAGCAAAAGCAAACTCTGATACGTAGTTTATTAATAAAAATACGTTCGCTTGAGAAGGATATTCATTTTATAAGTCAGAGAGCTGATGAAAGCGAGACCATGGAATGGAAATTGGAATATGAACGGGTTCAAAAATTAATACGCGAGAGTAAAGAAGAGTTGAACACCTTTAGCGAAGAATTGGATATGATGTTGTTGTGTTATAAAGAAACCCAATTATCGCAGCTGAGCAAAATACAATCTAATGTACGATCAGACAAAACCGTTAGTATTGTACGGGCGAATGAAATTTGCTTTAAAAGAGCTCAATGGCGTCTAACGGAAACCGATGGCCAAATTGGTATAGCCGATTTGGTTTTAAGCGGTTTTTTGTATACGAAAAAATCGAAAAGCGATGATTCCGTCGAACATCTATTGGAATTGGGTAACATTCGTATGAACAATTTAATACCAAGTGAAATATATCGCGAAGTGTTAGTACCAACTGAAATACAAAAAGATATGCCCGTGGATACCCATAAGAGGGTATTACGTGTCTTCTGCCGTGAAAAGCCACCCGTGGGTGGCATTTCTGTTAAGGAACATTTCGAAATTAATGTAGCTCCAATTACCATAGCTATAACTAAAAAATTTTATAGTACTATGCTCAAATTCTGTTTTCCCGATCGTGATGCTTCTGAAACAGAGACTGTTGACGATTTGGACGAGAACTCTTCGGGATCGTCGACATCCTCAGCTGCACAAACTGCAAAAACTTCAAAAAAACCTTCGAAATCGAAAAAGTCATCCAAAGACTCTGAATTTTATGTAAAAATTGAAAAAGACGATGTCGAAAAGATGAAAGAACGAGCAGAAAAAAATAAATTATTTATTTATATTAAAATACCCGAAGTACCAGTTCGAGTCAGCTATAAGGGTAATAAAGAGAAAAATCTCGAAGATATTACTGACTTCTCATTAGTTATACCTACATTGGAGTATCATAATGTTACTTGGACTTGGTTGGATTTGTTATTAGCGATGAAATCAGTAAGTCGTCGAGTGATATTATCGCAAGCTATAAAGCAAAAATTGCAAATACATCGCCGATCCCCAGCTACTTCTGCCGGTGAATTTAATTCACCTCAAGAAGAGGATAAAGCGAAAATGTTATTTGGCAATCGTTTGGCGGTAAGTTAACGAAATTAAGTTAAAAATTGATAATGCACTCACGCTCATCAATGCATTGGACATATGTACATTGATTAAGTTATGTCTGTGTATTATTCTGTCTGTTTGTATTATTAAAAATGAAAATATCAACTTCAAATTTGATAGAAAAATTGCAAGTTTTTTCCACGCAGATTGCTATTAAGGAGAATGGGCCAAATTGGTCGAAGCATAAGCCGGCAGTAGAGCATAAAATGAACACAACTCCGTTTTTCTTAACTAAAATTTGTGAGTTTTTTTTTTGGGGGGGGGGGGGGAGGGGGGGGTAAAATTATAAATGAAATTTTCCACATTTACTTTATGAAACTTTACATTCAAAAGCGGAAGAAAATTAGCCATACCCATACAAAGTTATACCTGATTAAATTTTATTTTATTTTTATTTTTATTTTTTTTTCACTTTTTTAAGGTTCCATGTTTATTTATCATAAAGCAATCAAGATAGAATGTTTCCTAAAACTATTCCTATCTGTCTAGATTATCTGGGTTAATTCTAAAATTAATATGATTGACACTACGACCTGGCAGATTAATATTTTCTTAATAATACCAGGGATGTCTGTATCAAATAAAAGCACTTGGATAGTAGAATGCGAAAAGCTAAGTATGTTACTTTCAAATTAAATATCTCGGACGTCACGACGTGATGAACTAATTTTTTCGTTACAATATCGTTGATATGGATATTCACATAAAAGCACTTGGAAATTAGATTGCGAGAAACTAGTCCTACATTAATTGTGATAGATGTCATGAATTAGTGGATAAATGTTTTCTTAAAAATACATTCGATATAGGTCTCCAGTGAAAGGAGCTGGAGAAGAGAATGCAATAATTTAATTGTGAAGAACGTTTCAATAGTGGTGGCTATGCGAGATTCGTTTCCCTCTGAATATAACTTTCTTACTTACTGTTATATCATGTAATTAAATATTTTACTCAAGCTTAGAGCATCTAATAGCTATTAAAATATATTTACTCCTTCCTCTTGTGTTTATTAGTTAAGCGGTAAGCTCATAAATCGCGGCAAATCCGTTAATATGTTCATCTGAAAGATGGAAATTTATCTCTCTTAGCATGGCATATGTAAATTTGCACAGTGTTATTATACATGCTTTAAGAGTACGCCATGATGAATTTTCTATTATGTGAATGCGTTATGCTGTTAAAAAGTCGAATATGCATCTTATGCTTTAGTTATAAAAATAGCTTGGATGGGATGACATGCTTAGACGGTAAACAAAGATCCTTATATAATGTATTATAACGATTAGATAGCCTATTATATTTCCGAAAGACTTATTATGTATTTTTGACATAACATGGTGTCTACAGCTTCCAAATTGATTTATTAGCGATCACTGAAATGAAGTGAAGTGCTGTAGGTATTGGAAATAAATATATATCGATATAAATATTTATTTATTTATCTTATGCAACATTTCATTTTTATATTCATTCTTTGGTATGGCTTTTTTGATTTTAGGGTGAAAATCGTAGCCAACGTAAAGGCGTCTTCAAGTTCTCTTCCAGCAGTAAATAGAGTTTACGCGACTCTAAACTTCCTCTAAGACGACACAAAACCATACTCGGCGCATGGCAAATATTTGTAATCACAATATCAATATAAAAAATGTTTGCAAACACATTTTTTATTTTTTTTTTCTTTCTCTTTCTCTTTCGTTTTTTCCTTTTTTTTTTTTTTTTTTTTTTTTTGTTTTTTTAACACACTTTCAAACCAAAAAATTATATTTTGACTTTTTGTTTTAAAATAACTTTATTTAATTAATATATGTTTATTAGTTAACAATTGTTTGTTTGTTTCGTTTTTGATAAAAAGAAAATAAAGCAAAATCCTAACCTTCTCTGTTGATCTGATGATTAATAACGCTATGCTCTCTATCTATTGATTTATTCTACGCCCACACTCTATTTTTCCTATTCTATAATGAATGATACCAAAGTATTAACTTAAAAAGAAGCCTATAATTTTTTTTTTTTTTTTTTTTATAAATGTTTTATTCAAACAAATTAAGTATTTTCTTGTCGGAATTTGTTTAGCATTGTTTTAAAATTTTATAACAAAAATTTTTATGTTATTTATGTACGTGTTGAGATGTGACATATATAATAATATTTGTATGTGTTTTATTGTATGTATGTGTATTTAAAAATTTTCAATAAAATCAAAATTAATTTTTTTTATGCTTAACAACATAACTTTTTCTCTTTTTATTATTCTCTATTGTCAATATTTATATACGACATACAAAACTAATTTTCGCTAAACTTTCGTTAAATTCAAAAATAGCTTCGTTTTTTTCTTTTATACATTCCTTATATGTATAATTTACAATTGCTAGAAGGATGAAAAATCAAAAAGGGAAAAATCAAAATATTAGGAATTTTTAATAAAACTAACGATCAAATGTTTCCTTTAATATAATTAATAATTTACTCTACTCATTGAGTAGTAATTAAAAAATTTTCCATTTCAGTATTTTATTCATTTATTTTGTTGTTTTAAAGGAGGCTGTAAGAAATAAACATGTGAAATGAATTAAATATTATATTTATTATGAAAGGTAAAGAAAGAAAGAAAGGAAGAGAAAGAAAGAGAGAAAGAAAGAAAGAAAGGAAGAGAAAGAAAGAAAGAAAAAAAGGAAGAGAAAGAAAGAAATAAAGAATGAAAGAGAGAGAGAGAGAGAGAGAGAAAGGGAAAGAGAGAGAGAGAGATAGAGAAAGAATTACTTTTAATCGATACCACTCACCGATATGAATACTTTTTTGGGCACCGAACGTTGCACCAATTCGTTAAGTAAATTATTTTGTGCCTCGTCCTTGGTCGGATCCGATTGCGTATTATATTCTAATACGAATTGTGGCAAATTATGCCAACCCACTACCAGCGGATACAAATTGAAGATCAACTCTTTCTCGCTGAAGGCAAATATTGAGACATCAAGCTGCAAACAAAAGTTAGTTAAGTAAGAGAATCGTATTCTTCTCTTTATTTTTGTTTCAATATAGGAGGAAATAGTTTCATGTTAATTATAAGTGAGTGGGCGGTCTCGAACATTTACATTCTAAACGTTCATCAAATATCAACCATGCATTCAAAGTGCTACACAATTGAGCTGACTTGAGAGGTTTTTGCTTTTAGATGCGAATGAAAATACATACTCGGTGCATATAAAGTACGCGAAGTTTATCGTTTTAAAAAAAGTATGAAAAATATGAATATCAATTATGGCATATATAACATGTTTTCTCACGCAGCTCATCGTTATGCATATATTTGAGTGCTCTGGGATCGAGTAATTAGTTAAACAAAGAGGTGGCCTTCATTTTTGGCTTTTATATAAAATTCTGTTGGATCAAATGGTGCTTAAGAAAAACATATGCATATGAATGGCAAAAGAGATTTGGTTTGTCTGGTGGAAAATTCAAGAAACAGACAGATACTCGAACATCCTCAAATGTTTCGCAGGGAGTTGTTACACGATTCTACTATTTTTGATTTGGGCAAAAAATGGAGTCTTGTTGCCAGAAAGCCAAAACTTCTTAATTAAAAGCTCAACCAAAATGATCAGACCCGTGCTCGAAGCTGACGCTGCCTTGCATAATAATTATTATTATTATTATTATTATTATTATTTTTTATATTTTAAAGGTAGAAGAAGTTCCTTTGGTACAAGATATTGCATTGAAGAAACTAAAGATGTTTCATTGTGAAACAGCCTACGTGTTCGTTATAGAGTTCCTTTAACTGCTTCTTATATCCATCACAAAATATCTGCAAAGTATCTTAAACAGTATACGGAAACTTAGTGCAGCATCAATCCAGCATAGATTCATAGATCCTCTTAAAATGGTATAAAAAAAAAAAAAAAAAAACTTTTAACAATTTACTCAATAAGACTTATGCCAACACCATGTGATGTATAATTCTCGAGCGTTTTCGCCGATAGAATGCGTGTTGTGCGTATTTCTCTTTAGGCATTCTATGTATGAATAACTTTTTTAAGTATGTGTGTGTGTGTTATACGGTAAAAAAAAAAAAGAAGATAACAAACGATTATTTAATTGTTTCATTGACATTTTCGAAAATTGGTCGGAATTGTGTTTTGCTTTTTCGCATTCATTTGTTGAACAATATTATAATAATCACACCAGCCATAAATAGAATCAACTCGACATGAAAAATACGCCGTAATGTAATTTTCTTCTAATTAATAGCTTACCTGTTTGTGACCGGAACATATAAATGAATCTGAATTGTTAATGATTAAAGTGGCTATTAAATGTATAACTTTTGCGGTCGAATTTTTAAAAGTTATTTTGAAGGTCATTGGCATTTTGACATAAGCACGCTCCTCTATGCTACAATATATGTTGAGCGGTGGCTCGATTATAGGCAAACCCGGTATAATAAATTTAGTTTCATTCTCTTCTTTGCTACCGCAACGATGCCATTTAATGCAATAAATGCCAAACAGTAATGTCGGACTTTGTGTAATTAATTGTTGTTGCGATTGTTGCGATTGTTGCGATTGTTGCTGCTGTTGACTACCATCTGTTAATATTGTTCCTTTAATGAAACCTCTTAAATGACCGGTAGCTTGTAACGCATCTATCGTCTTATTGTATATTACTCGTGTGTTAAGAGGCTTCATAGGCGCTGGCAACATGTTCGCATCTTCCGTGTTTATGCTATTATTGTTCGCTGTTTTACCATCATCTGATGTACTTGATGTGCTCATATTAGAGTTTTGACTGGACATCATTAATGTATTGGCGGCATTCAGGGCAGTGTTACTATGGATTATTGTCATATTTGTTGGTATTTTTCCGACCAAACATTTACTAAAATGAGGTATCGATGTATTGCCGCCGACTGAGGTGGTTACCCCTGTAGTATTAGTGTCTGTTCTTGTTAAATGTTTTCGAGAACTTCGCAAACGATTAAATATATGAGTGCTTATCGTTTCGCTTTTATTGCGCTCATAATCCTTAGCTATTAACCATTCATCTGCGTTCGCATTGGTACGTAAAACTATCACATCTTCGACATTTTCACCACACCGATACGTGTTAGTGAATTTCTTACGCTTAAAACTATATGTTGATTGCACTAAATTATGATCCTGAAATTATTATATCTCAAATCAATTAATAAAAAAACAAGACTCGCTTGGATAAATTATAAAAAATCTTACTTACACATATGAAAAAAGTTTCGATAATATCCAGTTCGATACTGGTTTTCACTTCTACACCAGCGCGCAATAGGAAATTCTCACCTCGATACACTTTCGTTAATGGCTTCCTGCTCAGCGTATAAAAGTGTCCGCTAAACTTAAATTCTTCTTTACAATTAACGCTTAAGATTGTATCCTGAATTTTCCTTATACTATTTTCATCGATGAATTCTAATTGCACCGGACTTACTATCGGCAACGTAACTGCGGGTGACAAGCTATTCGCCGTTAATACTTTTGTCGTCTCGGGCGAATCGTCCGCGCTAGTAGGCGTTGTTACGTCATTAACAGCTATCGCCGTATTCACTTTCGGCTTCAGTATTCCAGTTGTATAACAAATTTTCTGCTGCAATGTTATCGCAATCTCGACCAAACTATAGACAAAATAGGAAGCGATATTTGAAGTTTGCATAGCCATTTCGCCGATATCGATTTGTATATTCGAATGCAACTTTTGCTTGCTTGGTGCTATATCCGTAGCTAAAAATACTGAAAAAAAAAGAAAGTCCAAAGCTATTGAATTGTATTAAACAGGATAAGAGGAATGATCGAATTTAACGGGACTTTTGCATCTTATGCTATTTCTTGGAAGATAAAGAATTTTTTTTTTTTTTTTTTTATTTAGGTCGGATAATCTATTCTATGCGCTAAGCAAATCGAATTTAGTATATGATTGCAAATTTTTGTCTTCATTATGTAGATAGTGGGATGAAGGATGGCGGCGAATACTGTTGCGTTGTCATTTCATTTACAATAGCAAGGAAATCTGATATAGTTTATACAAAAAAAATATATAGAAGAGATATCTCGTTCAATCTTGGATCAATTTTCAATAGCTAGACTTTAAGGAGACGACTGATCCGCGTATATATCTACATATATGCTAATAAATATATAAAAGATATCGCGTTCTATCTTAGACCAATTTGCAATATTTATACTCTAAGGCGGGAAATGAACCGTACTTTCCTAATATCCATCGTAATCGTTTGCTAGTATGTTCAAAAATACGACTTTGCCTCATTAAATTTCAATATAAATCGATTTCAATTTAGATTCTTAGCATTGTTTTCAATAGGAGTGTATTGAGGAAACCATAAAAACAAACGACAAATAAACAAAATATAAAAAAAAAAAAAAGACGAAAACTTTTACGATAATGACGTCTACGACTATATATTTTATAAAGATTTTATTACTGACTGCTGTTTTAACGGACGCCCATTCCAGAAAGCATTATCTATCAAAATCATATGTACCGATGAGTACGCGTATCGTGGGAGGGCATAGTACTACAATTGCCGAGCATCCGTATATGGTAAGCATACGAGCTCGAAATCATTTCATATGTGGCGGTACATTGGTATCCACAAAATGCGTCATGACAGCGGCACATTGTTCAATATTAGCGTCGCCCAGTAGGTGGCAGGTGCACGCTGGTACTACATTCTTAAAATCGCATGGCATCGCCCGAACAGTGCGTAAATGGATGGTACCGGCCGATTTCAATTTCTTTAGTATAGATATGGATGTGGCATTGCTGCAACTGAGTCGGCCGTTGCATGAGCCCATTCTACGGCCCATTGAAATCGATTTCAGCCCATTGGAGGAAGACGACGACGTTATTGTGACCGGTTGGGGCTTAAAGAAAGAATATCCGGCAGCTAAGTTATCAAATGAATTACAAGCTGTGACCGTAACTCTTACGAATACGGAAAAGTGCATTAAAGCCTACAGTGAACAAAACAACGTAACAGAAAATATGTTTTGCGCGATTGGTGAACACGGCAGTGACGCTTGTCAAGGCGATTCTGGTGGACCGGCAATACGGGACGGCAAACAAGTTGGTATTGTGTCATGGGGATACCGTTGCGGCACCCCAAAATACCCCGGTGTCTACACTAGATTAGGCAGCCAAAACATCACCAGATTTTTAAAATTTCTATTGCCGCTTTACTGTTAATATTGAATACACGCTATTCGATTGAGGACACGCACGTTGATAACTTCAAACATGAACTCGAAATCAAAATACAAAAATAATTTATATCTACTAAATTATGCCTTTACATTGATTGATTGCACTTAAGAGACAGACAGGAAAAAAATATATATATAAGAATTATTGCATTTTTGCAGTGATATGGGCACATGTTAGATGCTGTGATTTTGTATCGGGGAAAAACATGACAAATTTACTGATTTGTTTATTTAGTTTATTAACAGTAAGTGTTCGCACAACAACGCACAAGCGATATGGCTTTTTCGACTCACGCATAGTAGGCGGCGAAATTACAACAATCGATCGTGTACCTTATTTGGTATATTTACGGCAAAATGGTCAATTTAGCTGCGGAGGATCTATAATTACTAGCAGATGCGTGCTGACAGCCGCCCATTGCGTTCATAAAATATCTCCAGCCAGTTTAACAATTAACGCGGGGTCTAGTCGTTTATCGGACGATGCGCATGTACGGCAAGTAGTGCAGACATTTGTTTCACCATTTTACTCATCCGTCAATCTAGATATGGATGTCGCCATATTGAAATTAAATCAGACTTTAAAAGGTCCTTATATAGCTGCAATACCGTTGTGCTCGAAACGACCTAATGACGATGCAAAGGTTAGAGTTTCTGGTTGGGGAATAACTGATGAAAACGGTCGTGAACCGTCTGAACAAGTGCGCACAGTATTGGTGAACGTATTGCCCAAACGACAATGTATTCAGGCTTATGCCGGGCAAGCTCAGATAACTGCAAACATGTTTTGTGCCACTGTACCTGGCGAAAGGGATTCATGTTCGGGTGATTCAGGTGGCCCTCTGGTCTATCAGGGTCAACTTTGCGGCATTGTATCATGGGGCTATGGTTGCGCTCGTCCCCAATATCCTGGCGTCTATACAAATATGGTTAGCCCGCGTGTGAATGCTTTTGTTAAAACAATTGTTATGCAAAATTGCTCGTAACAAAAATGTCCGGAACCGTTATATATAATGAAATTTAATTTTATAAAACACAGATTTTCAATAAATTATTATCGTGAAAGTGATGGATGGAAAAGGGGGCAAAAGTCCGAAAGGCAAGTTCTCTTACGAGTCACCAAAATATTTAACGATCCGTACCGTTCACCGCTAAAGTACGCTTCCTGCGAATAGAAGGAAAAAAAATAAAATTTCATATTCCCATGTGTGTAAGATTAGGAGTTCTACGGCCATCGGGTGTAATGAATGCATTTGACTCAAGATTCAAAAGATGCTAAGAAGTGTTGGTAAAATAGAACCGACCTTTACTGGATCGAATGCATATTATAGATGAGACTTCACGATAAGGCCGATTCATATATGCATTTCGCGATTAAGACTATTAAGGGTTTTATTTTGAAACCAGATGCACACACCATCGACAATGAGCGAAAGATTTGATGGTGGGAAAAAACCAATTAGTAGAATACATTTAATTTAATTATTGAAGAGGTCACGACAAGCGGCGATAGGAGGAGACAGTGTGAGCATTAAAGAGAGCAAAGTTCATTAATGACGTTCAGAGGTTAAGCGAACGGTAACATATGCGAGAGACTAGTAAATGTCGTAGTCAAAACTTGCAAAAAAAAAAAAAAAAAAAAAAAAAACATCACAAAGCAACAATCAAGTATAATTTATGAATTATAATCTAATTATAATTTGGTCTGTAAGGTCACATCATGCTGTATTTGTATAACATATACGCAGCAGTACGACTTACGTACATATATGTTCAGCAGAAGTATGTTCAAAGAAATGATACGTGCGTGCTCGATGAGTAACGTGTTTAGCTTGGCTTACTCGTGAGGCACAACATTAATCGGTAAACGGTACATATATAAAACCCAAAGTACCAACGTACCACATCCTGAAGACATAACACTGACAGCTGGATTAATTATTTTCTCATTGTTTTTATTGTGTCCTATATTTAGGCGGGCGGAAGTTCGATTTTATAAACGAAATTATGCCATAGACAATTTGACTGACAGTTAGGCCGGAGAAGGCGGCTACACCGTTCCCTTTTTTTGTTAGTTGCTGATTCGGAATATATAGACTTCACCGCAATTTCAGCTATATATTTAAATGTTTGTCGTTGTTGCCGTTTAAGAGTTAATGGTAGGCCTCAACATTATCCCGAGTGGATTTACCGGGCCATACATAATAAGTAAATCTGGTTTTTTCAATGCAATTCAGGCCCGTAGCTTATAGGGATTGCCTAATTCTCTGCATAGTACCGGTTGTTAAGTAAATGTCTCATCGGGCACCGTGAGGTAAAATGTATACGAGGTACTCACGCTACACACACACACACACACAGGACAAATTTGTCCTTTATGAGAGGTTTAGTAAAAGCATTGTGTACTTGTTGGGTGTGACAAAAGTTAATTCTAAGATTTTAATATAAAAAAAATTTCGCATAAATTTTATAAATAAGAAATTCGATCGAGTCGTTTTACTATTATTGTAATGAAATATAATAGAAATTAATAATGTTTTATTTTAATATTTCGCTAAAGATCGATATCATTGAAATAATTTTGCTCGTGCCTGTGTATGCCTGTGTCAATGCATGAAGGCATGAAATGAAACAAAACGAAGTTATAGAGCCATTGAAAATATTATTTTTCAAAAAAATATAATCGCAAAAAACTATAACAATAAGTACAATATATGTTATAATTGTAAGGCATGTGAGTAGTAATAACATTTGCCTTCGAATGTGTTTAGTTGGAAAAAATAAGTTCTATGGTGCAGCAACGTTTGCCAGTCAATGAAGAAGCATTTCCATTTGAATATTGTCATCCAAGCAATAATAATACTGCTGAGATCAATTGCAAGTGGGCAAGTGTTAAATAACGCTAGTGGTAGAATTGTGGGTGGCGAAGCAACAACAATTGATAAAGCTGATTTTATGGTTTCGATACGCGTATCGGGCAAATTTATATGCGGTGGCAGTTTAGTTACCAACGAATATGTAATAACTGCGGCTCATTGCGTGAAGGGCTTTTCGCCTAGCAGCTTAACGATTGTAGGGGGCGTCACGAAACTTTCAGAGGCCGGTGTGCGCCGAGGTGTTACAAAAATTATTCTACCTAAGGACTATAATCAAAGAACTTTTCATCGCGATGCAGCAGTGTTGAAATTAAGCGGCAAAATGGATGGTAACAATATTGGAACAATTGAGCTGTGCAACAAAACATGGCAATTGGGTGATTATATACAAGTTTATGGCTGGGGACAAGTCAGCGAAAACATTCGGGGCAGTTCAAATGTATTGCGCGCAGTTACTGTACCGTTAGTAGGTCGTAAAAAATGCATCAGTATGTATAAAAAGGAAGCTACAATTACCCAGAGCATGTTTTGCGCGGGCAATGCCGATGGAAAGGATTCTTGTGCCGGTGATTCGGGCGGGCCGGCCGTATTCGGGGAACAATTATGCGGCATAGTTTCATGGGGCGTTGGCTGTGCACGCCCTGAATATCCCGGTGTTTATACAAGTATTAAGACTGTTAAAGGATTCATTAATAAAGCCATGGTATTGTAGTACTTGAAATTAAAATTAATTCCAGGTTTCCGTTTCATTTCTTTAATAAATTCGTTTCAAAAACTGAGAAAGAAAGTGTGCAAAGAGAGAGAGTAGTGCAAACATAACAAGGTAAGTTTTTCTTACGAGAAAGTGATCAAAGGGATTATCGAATTTCTACTGCCTTTGCTTTTCTTTTTATTCCTTCAAACGTAAATAATATTAAAATTATCTCGATTATGTATAGCAACAGAGCAAGAATAACGAGTTTAATCTAATCGAGTGCAACGTAATAGAAACAAGAACGAAAAGTATATTCACTAGACTTGCGTATATTATATCTGAATGGGAGATAAATAGATGGAAGATTTGTTCACTCATATCACTATATCGATCGTATATCGTGTACACTTTACATCATATTTTTACACGATTTGATCGATAATTGTACAAACCAAATCAAACAATATCTAGTATCTTTAAACCAATAGCCCCTTTAGAAGCTTTTACATCCAGTTAATTATAGGTAGGATCTATAGAACAATTTAGCGAATTTTCGGGTTTTGAGAGGACTAACAATCGTATGCTATTCACCCGCACGTGATCAGACATTTCTTTGTTTGCGTTTTTTGCGACTGAACAAACTTGTTTTAGAATAAAATTGCTAGGCAAAGGTTATTGCGACTATTGCCTCGGAATAACAAATTTGATATAAAATCACAAAAATGATGACAAGTAAAAACATATGACTTTCTTTTATGATTATGGACCGTCCTCCACAACGCCAGAATACGGCTGTAAATGTTTTCTTGTAAACACACTTCTGAGACCATAATTACAACGAACGGAGGAACACCAAGTACGAAAGACTTGCTTAAGTCAATTTCACGCTGTATATATATGGATTTTTATGATTTTCGCACATTTTTAGTTTAAATTGATAAAAGATAAATAAATCTAGGGGAAATATATAAAATGTGAGAACTTGAGGTACTAAACACGTTTGGTGAAGATATTAAAAAATGTATTAAATAAAATGATGTGTGTATCTTACCTTTATTTTTCAAATGTGGTGGTACATTAATGCTTAAAGTCACACTTTCCAGAAATACGTTATAGGGATTATTAATTGTTGTAACAACCGGATAGAATTCATTCACAAGCATAATTTCAGAACCTAAGTTACATTGCGTGACTAAATGGAATCTGTAAAGCCGGAAAGAGGAGTAGAAGAAATATAAGGGAAAAAAAAAAAAAAAAAAAAAAAAAAAAAAAAAAACAAACATACCGTCAAATGAAATCAAAATTATTTCCTATACAAAAAAGCGGAAATTAATAAAAATATAAAAAAAGAGTTACTTACGTGGGAGTAATATAACAAATTGGATTAATTATGATATTATCATCCAAATCACGAGTACGACTATAGTGACGAAATTCACAGCGCTTGTATAAACATGATTTAGTTAACAAAAGCATTAACTTATCGGTACCAATGAGAACCTCGAAGCGCAGCACACGCAACTGAGTATTTTCTAGAAATTGTTCTGCATCTGTTTTAAATAAAAATTTATAATACAAGCCGGGTTGAAGTTTCATATTTCCTTCGAATTGCTGATAATTGTTAATAGCTTTCACTTCATTCTTCGATTGCCTTAAGTGAACCATATCTTCGCAGGTAGAGAATTGCTCAGCAGATAATTTAAAGCTATTTGCCCCATCCGTTATTAAAACATAAAGATTGCGTATTCTCAAGGGCACATCCGTTTGTAATCTGAAACGAAGAATGGCATTGATATGAAAGTTCATATTTAACTTATGGGGAAAAAGACTTTTGAAAAATTACTTTAATATAAGATTTAAACATATGGTTTCGTCATGTTTCAATTCGATTTGTTCAAACGTAGCGCACATGTCAACTAAATCAGTTAGTTTATCCAAATCCACATGTATAGGCGATTTCACTTTAGCTAAATTTTCCTCCCAAGCCGAACGTAATACGGGAACTTTCTGGTTGTGAGCTAGTGGTGGCTCTCCCTTCAAAAAGCAATTTTGTAAATTAACAGCAAAAATGACAAGTAAGAACATTATATGCGATTGTGGCTGAATTGTTTACCATTACAAAAAAACACCTTTATCCTTAACCTTTAACAAAACATGATAAACTTCGATAATCTCTTATAGTAGACGTAATTTTTTTTTTTTTATTTTTGTGCAGGTATGGTGTGATATTTTACAGACTACATATGAAAATTTTCAACTCTACGCTTGTCGTAGTTTATACATAATCAGTTAAAGCCTACATTTTTTGCCCTTTTGAAAACAGAGGAAGGAGTTCTAAGTTTATGTTATTATATATATCTTAAGACTGATCGATTTAACTTATTTCCATTCCAATCTGCTTGCAAAAAGGGCAAAACTTGAAGCAAGTGACAAGTTAGCTTTTGCAACTGAGAGAACCTTAACCACACACATTAATTCAGACGGGCAGAGATGCCTAGATCGATTCAGAAACTGAATCCAGGTACTTTATAGAGTCTCCTGAAGTTGGATATTGAAAATTTTTTGATCAAATGAATACTCCGCTAAACTTCTGTGGTGGATATAAAAAATGCAATAAAAATAAAAAATTACTAATAAAAATGACACAAACGCTTACACATAATTACAAGCACTATGGACTAAGATTATCGATTCCATTTTTAAAATCGCTTGTCCCTTCGCTCAGGCTTTGCTTTTCTTTTTTCCGATTGACATTTGGATTTTTTGAATTGTTTGTTGATTTTCCTACAAATACAAAGGGTGTTTATCGGATAATGACCACTTGAGATTTAACTCAATATGTTCACTAACGGGAGTTAGCTTTGCGATCCTTAATTGATGATCATAAATTGGTTGCCGTCAGCAAATTTTATAGATTATTATTATTACTTCTTGCAGGCATGATGCCAAGATTTGAATTGCGGATTGTAAAGGATTGTTTGCAATCTAATCCAATTTACTTTTATTACCATAATGTTACTCTAATCGTTGGGATCCAGCTACGAGATATATTAACTTTTACTGATTATTCGACTAAATTAACATTAAGGGTAAGGATATCCTTTCTTAAAGATCGGCAGGGAAACGTTTCCTTTGCTTTTCATAGTGGGATTTGTACTGAGCGTAATATTAATGACATTTTCCAAGAGGTAACTAAATAAATTAAAAGACATTTTTTTTTTTTTTCACCTGCAGCACTTTCCATAGATTTTCCAATACTATAATGCGTTCACTTGATTTATAGTTAACTTTCAATGATAAAACTTCTAAACTACACGAGACGTAATCATTTATGGCCGCCGATAGGAACGAACATCGCAACGTTCTCGATAAAACATCTGAAAAAATTGTTGACCATTTATCCTGACGATAATCGGGCAGCATAAGTGAATATAAGCTGTGATAAAAAAAAAACAGAGAAAACGAGAAAAAAATAATTCCATTGAATTAAAATACTTTTCACAACGTCATAACTTACGTTAAAGCTTTGCTATGATCACCACTTTCTAAATATTCATCTGCTGTGTCTATTGCTAGTTTTTTCCGAAATCTTAAGCATTTGTATATCTTAAATTGAGTCATAGCTTGACTTAGCAAATTAATAATGGCAGCCTGTAATGAGACATCTTAACTTTTCTATAATTTAAATTAAATTGCTTAACTAACTGAATGATTGAAATTTTCTTCATTTTCTCTAATAATACAATTGACTTGTTGTTCGGTTTGCGGTTCACCGGCTTTAACAGCTCTAATGCCAAAATATTCCGTAAATAATGACGTAATATTATTATTTTGAAGATTTAATTTTTGCTTTGATTCCATTGGACTTGATGGCGTAGCTGAAATGAAAATGTTTATTTGTAATAGCAAATAACGAGTAAAAAAGGTTTATTCGCTTCTTTTTTTTTAATAACGGAGGCCGTGCCAAAGGTGCTTTTAGACTTAAAAAAAATGCCCAGACATTATGCGTCGTCGTCGATTGCGTTCGTCATTAACGAACTCATAATTGAAAATTTCAACATTTTTTCAAATGAACTAGGATTCTTCAGTTATTTGTCAGTGATTATAGATATAGGCATTTCGACGCGCAGAACATCAACCAGTTTGATATAACCGTAACCCTTTAAAATCTCACACAGATCAAGCACATGTAATTTCTCTATAATATATTGACTGACTGCGCGTTGCGAATGGAGCGAAAATATGAGCATATTTCATTCTTCGACTACGATTGTAAAAATCTAGACTACATTTCTATTTTGGGTACTTACGATTGCTTTGTTTGAAGGCTTCTTTTCGTTTTTGCATATACTCAGCAGCTTTATTATAATACATGCCTGGATGTTGTGTCTGCAAAGCAGGCAAACCATTTTTAATGGCTTCACAAAATAATTCAGCAAAAACGTTTTCTCTACGATATTCAGACTGATTAGCAAAAGCCGCATTATAGTGCAGCATCGCACTTACTGTGTACTTAACCAGGCGTAATGTTCAAATATCAAATCTTTAGAGCCGACCCGATTTTTGTACTTCTCAATGTGACTCATAAAATGATTGATGGAATCCCTGGGAACTTTCAGCTTAAACATTAAACGGCAAATTTTGTAATTGAGGAAACCAGCAATTGTTTTAATCTCCAAACAGTTCGCATCAGTAATGCGTATTTCATCCAAAGTAGCATAAGATTGTGTATAATGTCTGAAAGAGTATAAATTTAATTAATACTTCTGTGCTCATTATTTTCGAGTATCTTATACTTTAATGCTGTGCTTAAATCTTGTCTTATTTCTGCTACAAAACCCAGCTTAAATTGATGACGTATTTTGAGAGTCACATGAGCCGCAGTCAATTGATCTCTATGAGCTCGTATACGTTTAGACATAAGAGCGTAGTAGCTTTGAGCCATATCAAGAAACGCTGCTTCTAAGCGCATAGTGCAGCCTACATATGACATAAGTTAGTTAATCTTTCGATTTAACGCAATAGTAAGGTTCAGTAATAAATACCTTGCAAATGCTCGATGTGTGGCAATATAAACAACATTTTGCTATTAATACCGCAGGCCGTTGTTAGACTCGCCCCTTTTTCCGCTGCTAAAGCGTCTTCACTTGGCGGCAAAGGTGCTGATTTTTGTAATAACACCAAACAGAGGCGAGTATTACGTTCCTAGAAGTTATGAGCAAAGTAAGTAAGTAACATAGCTTTAATCGTTAGAAAACGAATTTTGGACATCCATTATTTAAACAAATGTAAAAATTGCAATATTACTTATTTAAAGGGAGTGTTAGTAGGTCGAGTTTAGAATAAATCTTTAGATTTGACAGATGGAATTAAATAAACATTGACATTTTATATCAATTGTTGAGACGGACGGACAACATTGAATTGACTCAGATCAAGGATCCATATATTTTACAATGTTAAAGTGGAAGTTGAATGCTAGGCTTTTAATGGTGTTTATAATAAGGGGACATTTTCAATTTCAAGCTACCTGTAAGGCGTTTTTAAGCGCTTGCAATGTGGCTATACATTGGGTTTGCTTTTCCTGCCACTGTGCATCATTCCAATCCATATCCTGAAATAAAACTACCACTGCTGGTATCACATGTAAATGTTTTAGCATCCAATTACGTTTCAAAATACCCTTGGGATAATATCGGTCATAGGAAGCTCTTTTTGGTTTCACTGCCGGGAAGTCATAGTTGGAGGGCAACAGTTTATACTGAACTGCAGCTCTACGCAATTTAGATGAACACTAAATTTTTTGTTTTTTTTTTTTTTCGTAAATCTCGTTCACAAACCTGTCTGCTTTGCGGTTACTGCTGAAACCGTCCCAAATTGTTTTATGCACTGCATTTCTGGCCGTATCCAGTCCACAGAACCCGATTAAAGGTTGTGGTGCTACCAATAGCTCTGAGGGTAAAGCCGTTGCATCAATGCTCATAATTTTTATTTCGTCAACAAACGTAACAATTTGTGGGTAGTTTTACTTTCAGCTGAAATAAGCTATTTTCACAGTATAAGTAAAAGAGCAGATTAAAATCTAACACAACAGCAAAATTAGCTATATTGATAATTGGACAAGAAAGAACAATCCAATCAATTTTTTAATCACTTTCGCATATTATTAACAATCATAACAATCTGTTACGCTAATCACTGCAAATTTTCTACAATTGGAAAATTTTTATTGACAATTATTATTTCTTTCTAAATTAGTTTTTTTTTTTGTTTTTTTTATGAAAAGAAAACAATCTTTTTTGCGAAATGACGGCAACAAATTTTTTTTTTTTTTTTTTTTTTATGGTTAACATGTCCATATGGGCAGAGTTGACATGTTTCAAAAAAAATGTTATTGCAATGATATCAATCCGTTGTTTCTGAAACAAATCTCTATATGAAATTTTTTAAAATTATAAGCTCAGGATCGAAAAAATTTCTAAAATTGAACATTTAATTTAAACTGTGTAAAAACGCGTCAACTAAAGATAAGCAATTTAGATTGCTTAGATACCTTAAAAGGAAAAAAAGTGAAAATATATTGAATAGATTATCAGATACAGTCATTAAATTTCATTGTCATTCAAAATTTTACCTTGAAACCGTTTACGTTAACGGTTGTTTGAAAATTATGATAAATAAACGCAATAACAACAATTCTAAAATATTTAACAATAATATACAAACGGTACCATTTTTATAGCAAGAATTATGCACACAGCACTAATTTTTACAGCAACAATATACATATGGTATGCAAAATCAAATTTTCCATAAATGCTTAAATTATGGAATTATGTTATTTGATCTATTTATAAAAATTTTGAATTCGGATTCCAATTGGCATCATTGTCTTTTATAAGGTCTACGTAATTGCCGGCAGAAATGGCCGGTGATCCAAACAGCATTTTGCAAGATCTTAATTATTTTTTAAATCCCCTGTTATCCGCCTGAGTGGCCGATTATGATAATTTCCCTATTATTAGTTTTTATAAATCTGTTGTTTCCATTTACGATGATTTCTCTATTTTTAGTTCTAAAACCTTTTTTTTTTGGTTACATTTTCCTGCCCATTGGGCTCATCACTTGAGAGTTCTTAACCCGGAAACGAGAATGCAGGTTTTCAAACAGCGAATGGCAAGAAAGTGGTCATATCTGAGAAAGGCAAAAAACGCGTGGAAGCCTTGCTAAATGAATTTCATGAAAGTGATGGTGGAGGAAAGAATTTTATATAAAAATATAACCATTGTCTAGTTGGAGCTTATAGCAACAAATACTTTTTCAACCGATTTGTCATTGGGAAAATCAAACTTCTTTTCCTGTGTTGTATATTAATTTATATAATTTATATTTAAATATAAATAAAATAAATAGCTTTATTTATATAATTGCTTTATTATACATTTAGAATACTTTATTAATATATATAAAAGTAGATATAAAAGAAATTGTTATTCTTTTTAATGGTTTCCTGATTGCTTCCGATTCATTTTCCTTGACTTGGTCGCTATCATCTCATCTAGATGTGTTTTGGAAAATACGCGAACTAAACTTATATAATTGTACAAGTTAGCCTAAAAGTAAACCGCCATCATTTTTTTTTTTTATTATCAAATAAAACAGTAGCTAAATTTTCTGCTATTTACAAGGCGAACGTAATACTCTATGCTATTTACAGAAAGAATGTAATACTCTATGCTATTTACAGAGCGAAAGTAATACTCTATGCTATTTACAGAAAGAACGTAATACTCTATGTTATTTACAGAGCGAAAGTAATACTCTATGCTATTTACAGAAAGAACGTAATATTCTATTTTAATTTGTAAAGCCGTCGGCAAAAGTCCCCCAATTTAAATTTTTTTAATGCTGAGTAAATACAACCCTGTTAAAAAGCATTTAGTTTTGTAAAGCTTTTTGTGTGTGTGGTTGTTTGGTAAAACTGGTACAGTCTATAACACGTGCAGGGCAAATGTAAACAAAAATTACGATTTGTTACAACTACATGCGGTACCAGTATTTTGCAACAACAAATACACACTCGAAAAGCTTCACAAAAATACTGTGTTTTTAACCTGTTAAATATAGGCAGCTAAGTTACATGCTTTCTTTCTTTGCAGTGTTGCCATTCGCGGGTTATGGTTGTTGTTTTGAATAGTGCTGCTTTTTTAACTGTGGTATGTGAAAAGAGAAATAGAGTAGAACTTTTGATGGACGTATGTAAATAAATATTTATAATATTTATAATTTGCAATAATAATATTAAAAAATACTTGTAGAAGCTGAGCTGATGGAGAACTTGAAAATACCTGATATGACCAACGAAATAACAAGTAATACGAGTTGATTTGTCTTTTGCTCCATGGCGATCTGCTGCGCAAAATATATCTTTGTCAAACGTACATGTCATACAATTTAAGGGGCATGGTAACGATTCAATAATAAACGCCGACCTTCCCAACGTTCAGGATAATCAAATAGATATTCGTTCATTACTTTACATATGCGATCAACTCTTGGATTACCATTGCCTACTGCCCACTGCAGTGTAGTTATGGCATTTTTTGTTCTGTTGTGCCTCTTGACGACGAGTAATAATTTCCTATTTATCTGTCATCTTGATATGGTGTCATTTAAAAGCGCCTCTTTGCCTAATCTTTCTCTAGCCAATTGCTCCAATGATGTTTTTGTAAATGGCCCATATTTCTATAAAAGATTTTTTGTATAAGTTTTAATTTTTTTAATGTCATATAGCTGGAGCGAATAGAAAATGAATTTGGCGAAAATGAGACGCATGTGTGAGCCAAATCCGAGTAAACAGTCAGTTGCAAACATACATATATGCAACGACTTCAATTTCCGAGTACGCACATGTCCGTATCCATCACTAGATCTACTTAATTTTTTTATAAGTTTTAAATGCACTTATTTTGCATGTAATTTTTTAGCCGTTATTTAAATTTTTGCAAGAAAGACAATTGAAACCTTTGCTGAATTTTTCTTCTTCTTTCTTAATTCTCATAAATGAAAAATTACACTTGGATATGTCCTATGCGTTACTAGCAAATGAATTTGTGTTATAGATTTTAATGTTGGCCCATAGCTTCTCATCAAGTAAGGTTATTGGAGGGATGCAATCGAGCGAATCGAATTTCCAAGTTTTCGATTGAAACGCTAAACAACAGAGAGAGCGCAGAAATGCCCGCTGATGGGGTATAGAAAATCTTGAAGTTTTGAATTTATTTATTTATTTATTTATTTTTTTGTTAGATCGCCATGGTGTGATTCTGGTCCATTTCGCAGTTACAGATACTCGACCGGATGATGAATATTTTACAGTGATTTCATGCAACGTCGGGCAGACATGTTGTAAACTTAGACTAACAGTAACGTGTTACAGATCAAATAGGAAAAAAGAAGGCAAGGGATTTAACATATAATAAAACATTTCATGGTGTAGCCATGATATGATGAAAACCAAAAAATTATCGTACCTTCGCGACTGATATAGAAAAAAGTAAATGACGATAGACGGATAATTTTTGGATTGAATATCAAGTTTCAATGCCCGTTTGTTTAATCAAGGAAGTCAGCTGTTTGAGTAATCTTTCATACCTTGCTAAAAAGATGCTTCTCAAATCCAGAAAGAATGTGAAAAAGCTGAAACGATCTGTGATAGTGTTTTATTTTTGGCATTTGTAGATCAAGTGCTCAACAGATTCTCTTAAGCAACATGGGTTCAATTACATGGAACTAAATTTTTTCGTGTGTTTGTTTGACTTATTAGAGGACGATTTAGGGTTTTATCCGCACAGGCATTGAAAACTTTCTCAAAAATTTATAATTCAGAGATTATTTTTGGAAAGATAATTTTTGGTATACCGCGCTGTATCATTTTTGGCTCCGGGTTCTAATTTGAAATTCATTATCCCAATCCTTGTGAAGAGAATTTTTGATAACTCTCAAGGTTTCTTTAGGAGTATAATGAATACTGAAAAAGCTCTGTGTCAGTGATTGTTTCAGTTTAGTGCCTCTTGCCTTACGATTCCTATCAATTTAATTCGAAGTGTAAGTAATCAATTTTCATACTGAGCGTGTATTGATTCACTCAAACATACATTCATTCTTTCTTCAAGTATTCTATCAAAGCATTCGGTTTCGTCAAATTACTGATGGTTTTCCGCGAATATGGTTTATGCAAAATTCTAAAATGACTTTGACATTGAGAGGATCTTGTCAATTAAGTAAAAATCTCGTGATTTTGTTTGGAAAATTTAAAAAATCAAGACAATGTTCGATAAGTGTCGCTATCAAGGCTATTTATCTTCTCCCCCAGCCGGTAAACGACCAACTCGTAGTGAAGCGTGTGGTACTTCACTCCCGTCTTCGCCTAAATGTCGTTCATCAATTGTGCCATTTAGGCTACCCTGTCTCCACCTAGCAGTTCGAGTGTGTCCGCTGGTTGCTATACTGGGCAAGTCGTACAGGCCGTAAATGCAAGTGTTGTTACTCCTTCTTTTTTTTCAGCAGCTCACAATTCTCTACTTGGGAATTATATCGCTCCTAGTACGGATGAGGTCTGCTTGATGACAGTACCCTCCAGAAAGGCAATATTTGTGTAAAGGCTGGCGCCTGACACCTCTGACAATATTACATAAAAAGTTATCTTGTTGCAAGAGCCCCCGATCCCTCAGTCTGAAGCGTGTTAGCATTTTTTCATCTCACCGTAGAGCTATCTCGTCTTTTAAGGGGCTAGTTCCGACTATGGCCGGTTGGGTACTTAATTAAGGAATTTATTCTTGGGGTGGATTGACCCCGTAATACTAATTTGGCAATTTTTCCGCCCTCAATCAATTTTCCGCCCTTTACCAAAATATTAGGGGCCTGAACTGAAAACTTCGCGATACTAAATTCAGCGAGCACGAACTTTTTCTGTTTAGTTTTCACCGAAACCTGGTTAAAACCTGATTTACATCCGTCGGAATTTTTTCACAATTCTTTCCATATCTTCATACAGGATCGATTGGTGGTGTTTCAATTGCCATATCTTCTGCAGCCTCGTCCTATTCAATTGAATTTCCCACTTCTCTCGACATTGAATTTATTGCCATTCGGGCGAAAATTACCAATAAACAGTGATACGTAACTTGCTCCTATATTGTCCTAGATGACGATATCTCTACATATAAGAAACATGATGCCGTCATTTGAGAAGTGATCGAAAAGTCGAAACCTACTGACATAGTTATAGCGTTGGGGGACTTCAATTTGCCACAAGTCCTTTGCTGTTATGGGTACCCACTTTAATATCTGACAGAGCTGTTGGATTTTCAATCAATTATTTAATCGCAATTTACGTCAATCCAATCGCACTAGTAACTGTAATGGCAGACAGCTTCTTCCTTACTTTACCAATTTCCCGGAGATAGTTGTGAATCGCTGTTCATTTTTTAGTTTATCTGATCCAGCAATTTGTATTTCCTTTCTTTACAGGTATGAAAAGTTCGTTGAACTACTCCAACCCAGTCTAGCTATTTCTGCATCCGTTCCGATCAAGCAGTCTCGCCCTCGAAGCAAGTGCCGGCCATGGCTTAACAAGAGTATTAAATATTACAAAAATAGGAAAAAGAAAATTTTCAAAGAATTTATGAAAAGTTTTTCGGCTGCGGGTACCTTCAGGTAGTAAAATCGTTATTACTTGTTAAGCCTAAATATTTGTTTTTTAGGTTTGTCAATTCGAAAAGAAAAATCTCCATACATCCTTTGCAGATTTCTTTCGATGGGTTCGAGTATTCTGATGATATTGAAATCCTCAAATCTCTTTGCTGAATACTTCCGACGAAATTTTTCAGCGGCTAATTCCGATTCAACTGTCAATTAATCGTATCCGATATCTAGCTCGGATTTGATTCCTATCTTGGTCTTTTCCGAAATCGATATTTTCGAGGGTTTAAGATCTTTAAAATACAGTTCTATTCCTGGACCTGATGGGATCCCATCATGTATACTCACATCGTACTCTGACAATTATGATCAGTTCCTGAAATCAGGTATTTTTCGTTTGGGCGGGCAGAGTGATTTCCTATAGAGGCATTGCCAAGTTGAGTGTCTTGCCTAAATTGCTTTCGCACATTTAGCTTTTGCTATCAAATCCTATATGTTTCTCCATTCCAGCATGGCTTTCGGGAAGGAAGATCCACTGTTACGTATCTCTTAGAGTTTACTTGTCATGTTTTCAAGGCTTTTTCTAATGTCTTTCGCACGGATATCGTAAGCGTTTGACTTAATTAACTTGTTGATCTTCAAAAGCCAGGCCTCTGGCTTCACTTTCTACTTAGTGAAATGAATCTCTCTCTTATCTGCATAACAGATCATTTAGGCGAAGTTCTCGTTCCTCAAGGACCCCTCTGCACATTCATGATCTGTCCTTATTATGTGTTTACTGTTATCGGTTGCTAAGCTTTTACATGTTTGCAATGGCTTAGGTCATAGTTCACTTGCAATTTGGATTTATGTGCCTCTGGGTTACTTGTCCACATGCTTTTCTCCTCTCTTTTTTTTCTTATTTATTTATACATGAATTGTTATTTATTTATTTATTTATTTATTTTTTTGTTTCTTTACTTCTGCTTATATATTTTGTATTAGTTTTTAATATTGATTAGTATAACAATTACTTCGAATGCTGTTGATTTATTTGAGTTGGGTTTCATGTCTAAGTAAATAAATAGATAAATAAATTAAAGGGAAGGTACTGTTCGAATATATACTTTAGTCAAAAGCTACTTTGTGGCTCTTGATGAGCCGTCATTGATGATAATCATCGATTAAAATAGCCCGTAGTTAAAATAGCTTAACTTGAGACTCGATAACGCATTCTTGCCCACAACCAATGTCAGCCATCAGGTTGGGGGAGTTCTGCAAGTTCACGAGCATATGATGAAAGGATTCACAACTAAAAAAAAAAAAGGACTTACGGACGTTAACGCTGACAGTGCTCGGAATGCTTCCATTCTTTCGGCGGAAAATCCTTCGTAATGCTCCCAATACCACGGTTAACGAAGCATTTGACTTTGACTCAAAGAATACTCAGTAGACATGATTTGCAAAAAAGGATTGTAAGAAAAAAAGAAGAAGAGGAAAATCAAAATTAATATAAAAGAGTAATAGGTAGAGGGGCTTGTGTTCACAAAATTCTGTTAAAATTTCAATAAACAGGAAAGTTTTGCATTTAAATAAAATATTATGTGTCTATGTCTAGCATTTATGTAGGACTCCTGTGAACTGAATCGTCTACGCACATATGCCACCAAGGAATTGCAAGCTTATGAAGAGATCAAATTTTTTGTTTTTTTTTTTTTTTTCCAAAGAGGCTGCCAGCTCTCCCCACTCGCTCTTCTACCAATTTTTTCTCATATTTATTACCAGAATTGACAGTGCGATCAATTCTGTCGTCAACAGATTCTTTATTTCGGGAAAAAAATGTCGCGTAAAACCTAGATTTGGGTTTCAGGGTTAAGGATGCAATGGCTATTTTGTGTCAAAGAGGTCCTAACACAGTTCCTAGAATTTAATATTGATTTATTGATTTATTCATTTATCGATTTAACATTGCTAACGTTACGAAGCATACTTGTCAGCTAACGTAACGAATGGGATTAAAAAAAGTTAGTATGGGAAACTACATCACCGATCTTGAAACTAAAGCATTACACAAAGAAAAGCATTTATTTAATTTACACTAAGGTGAGGACTAACGAATCAATATATTTTTTTAAATTACACTGCAGGGACAAAAGAACGGGTTCAAGGTTGTGGTAATTGTGGTAAGCACACATTAGACACGAAATGATAATTAGTAGGACAGGGTCGCAAAGACGCAAAGGAACGTGTCTGACTAAGAACTGTAGACGGAACATTGAAAGAAAGAGATGATCCAAAAATGTCGAGGCGAAAATAACACCCTTCACCAATTTAACCATAACTAATATGCCCAACATTTACCTTCTTCTCCGGGGTATATGGGGGTAATGCCACTGTTGAATGCCAAGCTAAGCTGCGGAATGCAAAAAGTAAAAAAGTGACATTGAACGGACTCGATAAGATCCACGTAGTATCCATACGATATCCAACTGAATATTCTAGGGAGAACGTATACAAGCTTTTCGCAATAGACGCGGATTATCAAACTGTATAGACGATGTTTGAATCAAATACAGAAGAGATTTAGCTTTTTTCACAAAAGTGTTTCAATATGAAGTCAATAGAGTCACGGATGATTCCTAGGTCGTTAAACCACAATGCACTCTCTCTCCAGAAAGTAGTTATTAATTACATACAACATAGGCGCAGCGAGCTTATCCACGACAATGACAGTTCCGCCGCAGATGGCGATATTATTCAAATCGTCCTGGAGGAAATGCATGGTCAACGCATCGCAAGAATGGTTGGAAGATTTTCACGTCGCCTGCTTTAAGAATAATCCTTAAGGTAATATGAGTAGATTTGAAGAGTAATTACGAAGATGATCCAACGAGAGTCCTCTTTCGCAATGTGATGAAGGCCACCGGCGCCTTAGCGCAACTGGATGAGAATTAAATCGTACCCTGTATGATTTTTAGGATGATTTTTTGGCAAAGAAACTTTTTATCCGCTATGGCTGATGAGCAGCAGTTTACTGCTTTTTTACCATATAAAGCCGCACATTTTTAGATTGACTTAAAGGGGATCTTATGTAAGCAAGGTTTGTTTATTTGCTGGCGCAACACCAAGTCCAGATGACATTCTTATAAAAATGATTGTTACAATTCACTTGGTTTCATGCAAAAAAAGTTTATTTCACGTTATTTAATACCATCGCACGTATGCTAAGCTATTTGAAATCACCGTAATGGCATCCTAATTAAAAACTAGTCAATATTAATTCTGGTTGGTGAGAGTACAGAAATACGAGATAGGCATACGAATGGACAGATGGCCGTGCAGGCATTTGCATACATATCTGTAACCTCAGAAAACTATTTATATATGTTGCACAGAGGATAATTATGTTCCCATTATCCGATAGTTGCAAAAATTAAAATCGTTGGATTCTCGTGTTCTTCGCATATCAGTAATTTGCCATAAAACCGCCATTTTCTATAAAAAAAAAAGGAAAACAGAAAACAACCCAACGTACGGTGTACGCAGTAGTGTTCTTAACTAGGGATTGGCAGGTAGGTAGGCGGCTTTATAACCGCCGACGTACCACAAACCAAAACCGCTTACAGAATAATAGTAATTGTATACAAGCAAACACACTCAGGCATATATATATATATATTTATGCATATATTTGCTCTTCCTTCTGCACTTAAAACAAAGTAGTAGTAACAGAGAGAGAGAAATAGAGAATGAGAGCGTTACACCTCCTATCTTAAAATTTTTTTTTTAGTTTTTTCCCTTTTTTTCAATAGGAAAATATGCTGAATAGAAAAAAATGGCGGTTTCCGACTGTTTAAAGAGAAAAGAACGAGGGTGTATGAAATTTGCAGTAAAAAAATCCATGATTATATTCGCATCAAAAAAACAAAAAAAAAAAGAAAGAAAAAAAAAGGTTAGGGGTGAGCAGTGAGAGTTAAATAAACGCAAACAAACTAAACACCCCCATATTTGTGTTTGCTACAGTAAATGAGAGTGTACGACGACGACGACGACGACGACGACTCTGTGTGCAGGCCATTATACTCAAGACCTTGTTTAGAGCAGAAAAATTATATGCGAAAATACAAAAAAAAAAATTTTTTTTTTTTTTTTAAATCAACCCCTCACATATTCATTATGGTATGGGATTACCATCGCCAACGTAGCGTAATTACCACTACCAATGTAAAGAACTGGTGCATAAAAAAGACAAAAAAATAAAAAAAGAAAAATAAAAAATTTTTTTTAAAAATCAGGGGAGAGTAATTCTAAATTTTTTTTATTTACATTAGATGGACAAGAGCTTATTAATTTTGACATTGAGTTTGTAACGTGCGACGAGCATACGTGCCATTATCCGACCAAGTATGATTCAATCCGTCTATTCAAAATTGAACGAAATTGCAAGGGGAATGGCAATGAAACAAACGAATTTCAAATTCTCTCTCGTCGTAACGGATACGCACGTACGCGGCTAGACAATGTAGGCCGCTATGAGAGACGTCCCAGTAATTGTGTACGTTTTCTTAATGCACGTTTACTTCTTATATTTATTGTCAAAATTGAGAATACACGAGTCCACCCATTCAGTGCGTAAGATTCAAATTTCACTTAAGAAATCTTCTCCTTAATGCTTTAGCTCGGGTCAAGCTGCCGGTCTGCCGTTCATCGAGGTTGATGAATATTTAAAACAAAGTCTACAAACTAAGTGAATTTCTTCTTGGGCTAACTCTACAAATCAAAGTTGAAAAGTCGACCTGACTTAAGTAGTAAAGTAGTAAAGTAAATATATATATATATTGAGGACAACTTTCAATATATGTTTGTCCGAATGTCGTGCAACCTAATAATCTAGAAAAGATATTTAGAAATGAGTTAAACTACAGTAGAGTAAAGAGAACAACTTTGCCATCACTTTTTTCTCTAACTGATTTTTAGAACGTCTGGCTCGTTATTCAAAATCTGTAAGGTATAAGCTTTCTGAGACTATCTAGACGTGGATATCATTCGCACTTAACTATGCGAAGGGTCTTCAATAAAGTACACGATACTTTTGATTAATGTTATCTGTCGGTTCCTTTGACCGTAGATAGGCTGAACCCACAACGACGTCTTTCTATTTCTATTTTCGCAAACCTTTGGACTTTTTGGACTTTTTACGAGACTTACGGGAACCGTATGTCCCTATGCAAACAAATGAAACAACAAAAAAAAAAAAACATTGAAGAAGAAAGATAAAAAGAAAGAAGAGAAGAGCTAAAGCTCTAGCTCTAGGCTATCACACCTATGATAGAAAGGGAACCAAGTGCATTGTTACGAATAAAGTCAAAGTTAAGGCAGTCAGAAAGTAATTAGAAATTAATTTTCTAATTTGCGTTTAATTTAATTTAAAACATTTTTGTATTATAGTCTATTTGAGTCTATTGTATATTTGAGACTCACCATCGGTTAATTTGAATATTTTTGATTTTTAAATATATCTGGTTTGCATTTATGTCGATTTCTTCATTTTTACTTCTCAAACTATATGTTTTTGTTGATCATTAAATTGATTTTCTTAGTTTTTTTACATATTAAATAACATGATAAGATGGAAGGCTTCTCATTGCATTTAACACTACGGATTTATTTTATCATGAAACCTTTGTCTTATAGTCGTTCTGTTCAATTTGTGAGAATATTTTATGGCCACAAGTTTACGCAGGAAGTGAAGGCAGTAATACGAAAGTGTGCTTAACCAGAGAAGAAAAAAATCCAAAATCACAAAATGGTTCAACTTTGGCAGATATTGGTTTCAAGTGATGTTATTAAAAAAAAAAATTGAGAAAAAAAATCCTATTTTTATGCAACATACATCAAGCGGTGAATAACGAATAGAGCAAAAATTTCTTATCGCTTTTGAATGAGATTTATAAAGTTTAGAGTTCCAGCATCTCCATTATTCGTAAAGTAATGGTATTGGTTCAATGACTAGACATGATTCTACTTATGATGATTAACCAAATCAATCAAAATACAAGCTAGAAATCCGCCTGAGTGGTCGAGTAGGCGAGAGTCTCGGCTAGCAACCCAATGGTCGTGGGTTCAAATCTCAAGTGCGGTAGAAAGCCGAAAGCCTTAGATGCTAGTGCTTTAAGACTTTAGTCTTAGAATTTATTCTCTGGCTAAGTTTATAATAATAATAATAATAATAATAATAATAATAATAATACAAACTAGAAATCTAATGATATGTTACAAGTTGGAAAAGTGCCAGGAAAATTATAGAATAAGTAGAAAGAAGAATTCGCGCAGATAATGAAAGTAAAATGATTTAAAAAAACGCACTTTTCTTACCATCAATGCGAAGAGTATTAGAGAGTCGGTGTTGATTGGCGCTTATATTACTAACTACTGTTACACTTTAGATTGTTTTTAGCTAGCTTTGGAAACGTCCAGAACAGTTCTGTTGATATAGCATTTATGCAGAGAAAGAGAAGGAACATTATAACCATTCTATGCTTTGCAAATAAGAGGGTGAGTCCTCGCACAAAACATAGACATGGATTGTTTATGCATACATCTTACCCTTCTTTTTCTTCGTCATCATCATTATCGTTTACATCATTATGAGCTTTATCGAAAGCAGTTTTTTTTCTTTCTTTTTTCTTTTCATAGTTCAAATTTAAATTCATAATGAAATATGCTTAATGTCTCTTTCTCTGCTATTCATTATGTTTTCGATTTTTTCCTCCTCATTTTCCTTACATATCTGCGTTCTATGTAGTAGTAGTAGTAGTAGATGAGCAGGTATGTGTAAAATTAATGTTTTTTTTTTTTTTTTCAATTTTTCTTAAATCGCAAAATCGCATTTAGTTTACCAATATTATAGAAGTCTTTCTTTTTTTTTTGTACATCTTTCTTGTGATTTTCATTCTGATGGCAGCTGCGTTCAGTTGAAAAGTAAAAATCTAATTAGTTCTCTTACTCCATGGTTTGTTTGTCATAGAATAGTAGCCATATAGAAACCACATAATAATGAATTTTGTCTTTCTATTCTCTCTTTGTTTTTTCTTTTCGTACTCCATTTTAAAGTTTCCAATCAAGCGTACGCAAAACAACAACAAAAGGAACAAGAATTTTCAAACTCTATCATCTATCATCAGTTAGTCATTCCGTTCATATGCTAAACTTTTTATTCAAGATGGTTTCTTTGTTGTTGTTGTTGTTGTTGTTGTTGTTGTATTATTATTATTATTATTATTATTATTATCGTTATTATTATAACTATTTTGAAAAGTACTT